CTTGACTGCTACTACAGGGAGTTTTTAATGTTTTCTGATTATGGAGCAGCATTTATTATTATGTCTTTTAAGATAGGGCAACTTTATTTATACATCCTTTTCTTGAAATCTATAAGTGATTTTTCCTTTGAGATACACTGGGATTGACAAAACAGCTAAGATTTTAATAACTTATTGCTACAAAGAACAGAAAATCAGAGGAAGGCATCTGGACAGATTTGGCAGGTTTTCTAATGATTTCTCCCCTGTCTGCCCCCCCCCCCCCATTCCTTCTTGAGGCAAATGCAGAGTTCTGCACTGGGCACACTATCAAATTCTCTGGTCTAGCATATGGCTCATCAAGTCATCTTTCTTGTGCTCTTAAACTTTTCCTCCTGTTCCCATCTTGTCCCTCCCCCTGTCCCTGCTCTCATGCACAATTTATTATCTCCTGTCTTCCCGTCCCAGGCTTACTCATCTCATTATATCTTCTGATGCCAGAAAAGATGCTGTTGGTTTGCCATATGGTGTTAAGAGGTGCCGATAATATCGCAAACATCATTTGCCTAGTTTGCTGTAAGCCTATTGATGCATTCATTAGCTTGCTGCTGTTTTCAGTGAAAGTCCATCCTGCATTCTCTTCTATGACTTCTTATTTGTTTCCCATAGGGTGTTCTGTATGCTTGAATTTGTTCAGCATCAAAGATAGGTAATATTCTGGGGATACTTGCTGACAGCTGACTTAAAGTGTAAATTGCAATGCTGATTAAAGTCCAAACTTAAAACAAATGCAGGTAGATAACTCTTCACATAGAGTAGGTGTGAATGCCCTTCCCAGTATAACTGTAGTAGCTAAGAGTTTGCCTAAGTTCAAAAGTTCCTAAGCAAATATATGGAAGCAAAATAATCTAAAAGCTAAAAAGCCTCCTAAAGGCACCATTGCTAGCTTATGAAATCTCTGGATTGCAATTTGCTGGAGTCTGAGTCTGTTCTGGAAGTTCTAGCACTGTGTTTTTTCCTGTGGTCTTATATTCTTCCCTTGGCCACTGTTGGCCACAGGATACTAGACTATTTGGACTTTTAGCTTAAGCTGGTGCAGCTGCTCTTTTCTGGCCTGGCTAATTAACTTTATGCTTAGAATACCTGTTTGTCATTTCACTTTCATTTTGTCTATGATTAAACTGTAGGGATATAGGACTACAGTCATTCCTGGGTCGCATTTTTCAGACCCTTTCCTCATTGGCAACTGAGCCTAACAGTCCCATTATAAGCAATTCAGGCTCCCTTTTCAAAGTCATTAGGTTGTTCGTCCCATCACTGCCAAGAGTATGTTTCAGAGCTACATTTTCCAGTGCTTAAAAACCATCCTTTAATTTCCAGTTGAAATTTATTTATGGCCATTTCATATCCATTTGTTCTTGTGCCAACTTTGTTCTTTAGCTTAAGTAGCTCTCTACCTTCCTCACAGTTTTCTTCTCCCTCACCCGCTGTGTCTATGGAGAACAATCGAGTCACCCCTTAACCATCATTTTGCTAAGGTGACAAAACTGTGGTATTTAAGACTCCTCATGAGACATGCTTCCGTTACCATAATGATTTCCTTAGCACTTTTCTGCATGGTTCCTTCAGAGTACTTCATGCAGCTGTTCAGATGAAGTCTTGTATGAAAACATTCATGCTTTTACTTTTCCACTGGCAGTGGCTTTTCTGAGACCTGCTCTGACCTTTTCACGGTTGTCACCCTGCTGAGTCATGCTTGTCCTCATTCTCTAAGGGGGCTCATATTTCCAGGGTGTCCTTCTACTCATTTCCAAATTATTAGTCCCTGCTCATAACAGCAATTCTTATTAAACCCTAAATGCATAACTTTGCACTTTGACTATTACATTTCATCACATTTCTGTTGCTTAGGAACTCAAGAACATCCTGTTACTCCTGAAAAATATTCCGAACTCCCCACTATTGGCAGTAGCTCCTGACTTCACATGGTCAGCGGATTTTGTTAGTATACTCTGACTTTTTGTGCCAAGGTCATTAATGAAAAGATAAAATAAGATCAGTCTCAAAACATCCTTGAGGACTCCCATGCATAACTTCCTTCTGGACTAATAATTCCTCTTTTGGCACAACTCCTGTCATCGCCTCTTTAACCAGTTCCTTACCCATGTTGCAATTCTTACGCTAATACCTATGTTCTCCAGACTGGCTAATAATTTCCACGTGGCACCATATCAAATATTTTATTGAAGTACAGATAAACTAGATCTACCACATTTCCCTTGTCTAAAAAAAATCAATTATCTTATCAAAGAAAAACATCAAGTTAGGCTGGCTTGATCTACTCTTGGAGAGTCTATTTTATCCCTTAAACCCATTTTATCTGTTTTGCAGTTTACCCTCATGTCTTTAATTATTTTTTTTCTTTCAAAATTTGCTCTAAAGCAATGCATACTATTGAGGTCAGTCTGCTGGATCTGCACCTACTTATGACTAACTGTAGAGTACATGCTGTAAGACATACAGAACACTGCATATTGCCTATGTCAAAACCCTTGTGATGAATTGCAGTGCTCGAAGAGATGAAATGTACTAGTTTGGTTCCACTTTATTTTATTGCAGTATGATGTACAGGCATAGACTGAGATGAGGATGTGTCTAGGCTGTTGGTGTGGGAAATCCAGCTAGCTACAGCTGCAGTCTGTAATGTTGCTTCAGAAGTAAGTGGTGATTGTGAATAATTCTGATTCTGCTGAGTGGTGGTACTGGAATCTGTGTGATACCACCTTTATTTTTTTTTTTTTCAGGATATGTCTGAATTTTTCCATCTCACAACACTGTCCAGGTGGATTTACTTACATCTTTATGATAGTCCTGGGTTTCTCAGCTTTACAAGCAAAGCAGTTGCAAGCCTGTTCCACCAGGTCACATCAAAAGCCCAAATAGCTCTTATTCCTTGACTTGGAGCAGACCAGCTCCCTCCAAGCCTGGAGAAGTGACATGGGGTGGTTAAGGCTGTTGAAGGATCAGCTTGTGGTATGACCAGGAAGAGTTTAAGTCTTCTGGGGCAAGAGTGTTGAGGAATTAGAGAGAATGGGGATTCAAAGATCGTAGGAATAGGAGATTACGTTAGCTGAGAACATGGTTTGGGAGGTCTGAGGTCCTCTGAGGATGAATGAAGATGTCTGTGTATATGTTGTGGTTTACAGAACCCAAAAAATATTGGAGAATCCATATTTGCATATCATGGTGTTGGTGGAAGGTTTGATGGCAGTGTTGGCATTATGACAGTGACGTAGCTCTACTGAATCTCTTTGCAATGCTCATAAGCACCCCCAAAATAAACCAGATGCCTATGGGAAATCCTTAGATCTCTTCTGCTTGGAGCCAAAACCACTTTGTTCCTTTGTTGCTCTGCTCTTCTGGCATGTGATTGAGACATCACCTTAAGCCTGCAAACGTAGGTTTGTAATGTACTGTTCTTTACAAGATACATACTCGAGCATCAACTTTGGGAGATGCTCTGGATGGAATTTTAACTTGCTTAGAGCTGTTTGATTTGTCCCAAAGTTTAAACTGTGGAAAGACTGAGTGATGAGTGGCTGTAGCATATCCCTTTTCTGAGCTAGTGGATGGCAGTATTCCTCCCACCAGCTGAATGATTGCTGTCTAGGTGGAGTTAAAGAAGTAATGACAGCATGACTGTGCTTCCACCGGTGAGATTTTTAGCTACTGATGTCCTGTTCTGTCTGTATTTGTGAGCATTTATTTTGCAGTTTGTTTGTAATGCTGTTGTTGAAGTTTGACAGGCTCATTATGAAAGAAAGACATTAGATAGGGATGTCGACCCAACATCAGCAAGAACCAGCTCTTGAATCTTTCTTAGTCTCTCAAGCTGCTCTTAGGATACACAATGAACAGCAGCTTGATGACAAAAAAATATTTATTTCTTGCTGCAGGATGATAATTGGCTCAGTATGGAAGTTAATATGATTTTATATGGGGACTGGTTTGTAAAGAGATTATGTTCTAAGGAATTCTTGGGTATGTAGGGTTTTGTAGCTGTATTTATTTAATCGGCTGTGGGCACTTGAAACTTCACAGCAGTAAGCCAGGTTAGGACATGGATTGTCTTGCTCCAGCAGAACATGACTGGAAAAGGAAATGTTCTGTGGGGCTGGTGGGATGGAGATTATACCACGTGAGGAAGAAACTTGTCTCTGTGTCATGGGGAGCAAGGATATCTCTTCAGCTTTTCAAACTTCAAATGTTGGTGACTGGCTCCTATTCAAACCAGTTCTATGCTGACTCAGGCAGGCTGAGTTACCTGCACACTGAAATGATGCAGAAGGTCAACAGAAATCTCTGTGTATCTACCTTCTACCTCCTTACTCTAAGCTACATGGGGCAAGCAGCTTTGGACTGCTTTAGAGCTTTTGCAGCTTTCTTACAAGTCCTGATCTGAGTGGGGACCTTTACATGCCACTGCAATGCAAGACCTTGTCATAATTAAAAGAAATTAAATTTCCTTTTCAGTTAAAGCTGGTGGGAGGGAGGACAGGGTGAAGGTTGTTTTGGGAAAATGGAGAAGGGAGTGGCATTTGGCTGGAAATACTGACATGGATGTCCCAGCTTGATGCAGAAGTTATCATCTACTGATGTAGATAGAAGCACTGGTGTCTGGCGTGGGCATGTGCTGAGACTGATACAAAGAAATAGCTCTGGGGCAGCAGTTTAAAGACTTGCTTCATTACTTTGGATATGTGGGTGTTGCTTTAAATTTAACGGTCACTACAAATCAGTGTAACACTAAAGCTGGAGGGCTAATGGTCTTTCAGAATAACTGAGTCAGCTGCAGAGACTGGATCCTCTGCTGGTGTAAAACATTGCAGTTCTGTCAAAGTCCATCATAAGCTGTCAATTTAGACCAGCTGGGAAGCCTGGCCCAGAAGACTGTGAAGAGGAAGGTTACAAAAATTGTCGAAGAAATTGACATTATTTCTCCATCTCTCTTCTTTCCCCAGGGCAGCCATTGAGGCTCTGGCAGCTTTGCTGAAATCAAGTAAGCTTCTTTTTCTTCATATTCTTTCTGACTTTCCTTTCTGTGCTGCGCTGCTGGACAGAACAGTCCTGTTGATCCTCCTTCTCCCTTGGTATCCTCTCTTCCCTCAGTCCCAAAGAGCACTGCTTAGAAAAGAGAGGCAGTAATGCACTAGTTTCCTATATGCCTAGCTATGATTCTTGGACACCCAGGTCTATGGGAGATGGTGCTCTAGGTCCCAGGGAGCAAGCTGCTGAGGGAGCCAGACTCTAGACCCTTATTTTAAGTTTTTAGGGAACAGTCATTGTCCTGGGGCTTGGTAAAGTGGAAGAAATGGAAACCTCTGCAGCCAGCAACCAATGCTTATTGTGCTGTTGCAGCATCACTGGAGAGCAGGACCAGGACCTCTCTGTCCTGTGGTGCTCTTGTACTATGTGCTTACCTGGTGACAGGATGCTGTTGGCAAAGGCTTGGAAAGCTTCTGTAGTCCAAAAGAGATGAGGCCTTATTCTGCCTTGCAATCTCGTCAGGTCTGATAATGTGCAGTCAGGGCTGAGACCTAGTGACTGCCAGGGTACAGCCCTGCTATGGCAGGCTGTGCTTGGTATTTGTACCAGCTGGCTGGGGGTGTTGAAGACCTTAACGTGGATTCTCAGTCACACACTGCTGGCGTGACTGTTCCCGAAATGAACACGCTACCCTCTTTTGCCTTTATCCCATCCGAAAACACTTAAGTTTTTATTACCAGAATTTAATAAAGCTTTGATTAAGAAAGAGCACTCTACTATTGCAGACTATCTACTCTACAATAAATCACAATGGCATATTGTCCTTCTCGCTCCCCCCTTTTCTTCCCCTCCCCATTCTCCTCTTCATACTATTAGGAATACGTGCATTTGTGAAAAATTGTAGCCCTGGAAGCAGTGCTTAAATGAGCATGCTGCAATGGGATTGTATCTGAGTTGCATCAGCGCAAGTGATGAATTCTGAAATAATGCCTCAGTATTAACCTTGCTGCCTAGATTTAAAGGTCACATTATTGCAACTAGGAAAGACCTTCTGGTTTGGGCACTAAATCTTAATAAGGGGGTTGTGGGGCTATGCCACAACTGCTTGCAATACAAAAGCAAAATTAGCTTTCAGAGTAGAAAGAAATTTACAGAGAAACCTAGAAAAGTGGAGCAAGAGCTGAAAGCTGATCAGGCAGCTTGAGCTTTTCTCCTGCACTCCTGTTTTATGGTAAGTACTAAGAATGGGAAGTGAAATTCTGTTGTCCCAAGATATTTATAGGATAAGTTTTCTACTTGGAGGCTTGTTCTGGTTCTAGAGATAAGAACAGTATATAGAAGTGGAGGACTAATTATGAAGGGAAGCTGTGAAATGTAGTCTCCTGGGGAGTTGTAAACACACGTTGTAAAAGTTGGGGGGGGGGGGCAGCTGAGGATAATCTAGGGAATCTGAAAGAACTAAATTCAGCTCCAAATTCCCCCAGCCCTTTTTCTCCTGGAGTGAGGTAAGTTTTATAAAGCCATTTACTCTTAGAAATTTTCTGTGTGACTCTTCTCAGCCAATTTAGGTTGTGAAGGCATCTTGGTTGGTTTTTCCTTTTATGCTTTTTGTGCTTTAGGAAGTGCATAGAGGGTTTCCAGTACTGGAAGAACAGTGATCATTCTGGTTGGTTGGTTCAGGTGCCTTCACAGAAGGTGTGAAAAAAATTGAACTCCAATGAGAATTCAGTCTATTGAGCAAAGCAGTCTACATTGTCACTCTGTTTGATCACTGTGATGTACAGATTAGGGTTCTTGTGTTCATTTGTACTGTTGACCATTGCATGGAAAAGTGATTTTTAGGAAAACACATGGTCTATTTTCAGCTGATATTCTTTTAAGGGACTGGGACTTGGGAAATTATGCCAATACTGTGCAACCGAATTGAGCACCGCAGCCCACAAGTCAGCCCGAACTGATGTTTTCTGCAGTCTGATGCAGTGTGGTCAAGAATGTCCTTTAGTTTTCTCCTTTCCTGTGGCTCAGGACATGAGAAGCTCCAGGCTTCTGGAGTAGACTCTGCTCCAATAGCTGCATACAAATGAGCAGGCTGTGCCTTTTGGGAGGTGTGGGTTGGGAGAGGTGAAAAACAGCTCTGGTTCTTCTAGAGATAAATTCACCATGGCTGGAAAAGAGCTGAATTCTTTTTCATGATTGTGTCAGGACAGCTTTGTTTGTCACAGCTAAGTTATTTATGCCCATGGCTTTAGCACTTTTGAATGCTGCAGGGGTTCTTAGAAAGTTAAAAATCAAATCTGGTGAATGCTATATAGCACTTGAAAATTGCTTATGAAAACAAGGAGTAAAACTGTACATGGCAAAGCACCCAGAAACCCTTTAGTGTGTTTCAGATGGGATACAAACTAAATGGGAGGCAGGAATCCTGGAATGTGTTACAGTACTGGATTGGTGTCCTGGTTACTGTGAGCTTTGGAGACTTGCAGTAACCCGCTTGCTGGGAAATGGTGGTGAGATTCAGTTTTGCTGGGGGTGAAAGCTATAAAACAGGATAAGAACACATCTACTCTTGAGGGTCTCCCTGTAGGGCTGTTATATCTTTAAGTGCTTCAGCCCAAAGTAATCACGAGGGTTATGGTTATACACGGAGTTGTGCTGGATGGAAAGTGTCCCTCTTGCTTTTGGCAGCGAGCTGCAATGGGAAAACACACGGTAGTTTTAAAGGGAGCAGGCAGATGGCAGTGTGTCTCCCTGATGGATTTGGAAACATCCATCTTCAGCTCCTCAGGCTTCCTTAACCTCTACTTGAGACTTTGTCCACCTGCAGAGCCAGGGTCTGGCCAGAAACTTCTTGGCCTCTGTCTCTTTCCTAACAGAAGCTGATGCTAAATGCCTGCTTAACAGGTGCATAACAGCAAGAAGCCAGATCTGCCAGGAAAGAAGGCTTCAGTGTAAGAGAAAATTACTGCTCCAGGTGTACCCGGGAAATTGTTGCTGTTGTGTTTCAGAAGGGAAAGATGGTTGTCCAAAGAAATAAATGATGGGACTCTACAAATTTGTGCTTCATCCACAACAGGGAAGAAATGCTTGGAAACTCAGTACAAGACTAGTGGCCTTGGTTGTCCTGTTGCCCTGTACATAGTGGAAATTGTGTTAGCCATAGAGATGGTGACTGATGGAGGAATAGAAGTTTAGGTCCCTTCTAATGACAGTGCTGTATCTTTCCATCAGTGGAAGCTAAGATTGCTCATACAGAGAAGACATTTCTTGCCTGACCATCAGCTAGTTTCTCACTCCTGACCTTTTATCTCTTCCCAAGCATCCCAGAATACTTTACTAATCTGTGCATGCTACTCTTCCAGTTGCTATTCTCCACCTGCTGTGCCCACATGCTGCATGCAGCAAACAGCTTGTAGCAAGTCCCTCCTCTGTTGCCTTGCTGTCTTTTTATATTCATTGTCTCTCCACCATGCTGTTAACTCCCTCTGACTGAACTACTTTATTATACAGGCTGAACGTGTTGCTCAGCAAATATCTCTAATGGTACTGAAGTACCATGTGAGCATTAGGAGGTTTTTACTCTTCGCTTGGATGTTACAGTCAAGCTTTCTAGTGTGACACCTGTCCAACCTTCCTTCTTCAATTTCTAGATGCTTACTACAGCTCAAGATGGGGGTGAGGGTGTAGATACTGATAGCTATAGATAAACCGAGTTAGGATGAGGCACAACATGCTTCCCAGAGTCTCTTCTCTCTGTCCCAGGGTACACCTGCTACTTTTTTCCAGCCTCTTTTGTCTTTGTCCTACTTCTCCTCTCTCTTCATATCTTGCTCCAGTTCTGTCTTAAGGCCTGGAGAGCTCATCACTAAGCCCTCCTCTGCTGTGAGAGGCCCAGGTGTGGAGGGGGCATATCCCAGCTGGAGCCTGTTTGAGCAGCAGTAGAAGGCAAGAGCTGCCCTCCATGTCGCTCTTAACCGTGGTCTCTATTGCTTTTAGTGAACTCACCTCCCAAAATAACAGGTAAACGATTCCCAGTTTTGGGAGAGTGGATGAAAACTGGACATCTGCTATGTAAATGTAGACAAGTGCATGTCTAGGGGCTTGTAGCTGAAGACAATGTGGTGGCCCAAATTGGACACTGCCGCTCGGCACCTCAAGCCACACGATGGCGATGTTATTATAGGGATCCCTGCTCCCACCGGTGCTTAATCCAATATTTATTTTTGGTGAGTAATTTGTTTATCAGCAGGCTATTTTAATCTAATTTTGGTTGTATTTGTTATTCCTGACTATCTGTACTTCCCAGAATTAGCAGCTTGCATGTCTTTAAGGAAATTAGCTAGAGCTGATCTCGGAGGCATTTGTTCAGCGGATGTTGAAGGAAAAGGCTAGGGAAATGGGCAGGGCCCTTGTTGCAATGCTTGCCTAGTAAAATTGTAATGAGCAATTTAAAAAGACAGGTTGTGGTGACCCCCGATCATGCTTATTTCATTAAGACAATTCTGTGTGCTAACAGCAGGTATTGCTGATGGCCTTTCCCCTCTCTTTCTATATCTTTTCTTTCCTCTTTTTGTCATCTTTATCCTCTTGCCTTTCCTTCCCCCCCCCAGCCTTTCATCTCTCATTTCCTGCTCTTTCCTCCTCTTCTGTCAACTAACCTTTATTTAACCTTTCACCCACTGTTTTTTTTAATCAAAGCGTAAGGATTATGTCTTGTGGCTGGTGGGATAAAATAATCAGTGTCGTTCTTTTTCTTTTATGCCAGCATCAAGGAGGGGCAAGTAACTCTGCAAGGAACAGAAAGCAATGTTCTAGTACATAAGCAGATTATGGTTTCTGAAAGGCCTGAACTCTCTATGTCTGAATCCATAATGCTTTGCAACAAATCTACTGACACAGGTCTTTGATCTGGCATCAAAATAACCCTATGGTTAAACCATGTCAGCTCCTGTAGCCAACAGCACGATGCTTGTGATTTGCCTAATACTTTGCCAGGTACCTATTTCTCACCATCAG